CGAGTAAAACACATGAAAGAAGGAATCGCAAAACGCACCACACCAATGAACATGTGGCTATCATGCATGCACATTTTCGTGAAATCAAACACGCATGAATTGTCACCACCATTGAGTGGGTATTAGTGGGTAGAAGTCTGTTCACACATAATTGGGCCTTTCACTCCTTGTTCACCAATGCCATGCTTAACTCAAATGGAGAGAAACCAAGCTATCGGACGTTTGGAAGCTGGAGAGTCTGTCCAAGATGTTGCCCGTCATTTCAACGTAAACATAACCACAATTTACTGTCTCCAGCATCGATACAACGCAACAGACCGCAGATGGCCTTCCTCGGAGCGGTCGTCCTTGGGTCACCATCCCTCGACAAGATCGGCACATTACCCTTCAACACCAGCGAAATACGTTTTTCTTTGCAGCTAAAGAAATGTCTTCTGTCAAATTTGTGTCTATCTGACCCTGGTGGTATTTCTGGCCGTTAATGTTGAAAGTTACATACATGTATACTTTATGCTCGACTTGCGTTGCTCTTGCGTGCGGTTTATGTTATCCCGAAGTGATTCATCTGTTTCACATTTACCACCATGGGGAAACCACTAGCACGGTACGGTACTGACAACCTCAGTACAATAATCGGGGTGGATCGAGACTCGAACCTTCAGTGATATCGAGCACATCCATGATTCCTACCCATTCAGAATCATCGTTGGAAAAATCGACCCAACCTTGGGCCGTGGGGTAGCCTAGTGGTTAAAGCGTTCGCTCGTCACGCCGAAGACCCGGGGTTGATTCTCCACATGGGTACAATGCGTGAAGCCAATTTCTGGTGTGACCTGCCGTGATATTGCTGGAATATTGCAAAAAGCTGCTTAAAACTATACTCACTCAATCACACTGGTCAAGCAGACACGAGCCTCAGAATTACTGGGGACTAATTACTCATTACTTATTATTGTCAGTTTACAATGACGAACAAATTTCAGTCTGTTCCATGTAAGGATCAGTCACCAGCCTCTGATAGTCAGGATATGCATGTCATCGGAACGAGAAATAAACCTCGGGCACTTGGTATATTGCAAGCCATTATACCACGACATAGAGCGTTGTGCCTAATATGAATCACTGGTTTATCTGCTCCAGACTTCGTTATGTGAACACTGCTAACACTCAAACATACCCGTTCCATTTGAGTAGCCAGCTTTGTTGTAGTCGTATTTGCTGATTTCACTGTACCACATATCACATTCTTCTTTCCTGTGAATAGAATCAAATAATGAGCAGATGAGAGCGATTGAATAGATTTAAATTGGTTGGTTGGTTGGTTGGTTGGTTGGTTGGTTGGTTGGTTAGTTAGTTGGTTAGTTAGTTGTTGAACGCCGCACTCAGCAATATTCCAGCTATATGGCGTCGGTCTGTAAATAATCGAGTCTGGACAAGACAATCCAGTGATCAACAGCATGAGCATCAGTCAACGTAATTGGGATACGATGACATGTTTCAACCAAGTCAGCGAGCCTGACCACCCGATCACGTTAGTCGCCTCTTACGACAAGCATAGGTTACTGAAGACTAATTACCCGGATCTTCACGGGTAGAATTAGATTTAAACCCATGAAGAACCGGCTTAGAATGAAAATAATATTGATCTTCAGCAACTCTTGTGTGTCACTGCATGAGACTAACAGGGTCAGGGTCGGTGGCTTGGTAGATCAACGACAACGTTTTCAATTAACGTTGACCGATGCTCACGATATCAATCACCGGTCTGTCTGGTCCACATTCGATTATTTACCGACCGTCGTGATACAGGTGCTGTATTGCTAAGTGTAACCTTTTACAACAAATGGATTAGATTCGGTCGTGTTTGGAGCAGTACTCACTCAACCTTAAAGGGACGATCCAAAGTGACCAGGTGTTATGGACTGAACAACGCGGAACATGATTAAGGCAAATCTGGGAATTATGGTCTTAGCCGGACCAGGGATAATAACTGCACACATTACACATATTGTATTCATAGTGGATGTTTTAACACCATGTGGTTAATAGTATAGTGAAATCCAAGACTTTATTCACCAAGACTTTATTCACCTGGGGGCATGAACAGACTTGAGCGTTCTCACAAACAGGATAATTGTTGAAGCATTAATTCTGTACAGTTCAGCACAAACACCGAGGGTGCGTTGCAAGCCGGAAATCGCTTACAGCAAGCAAATGAATCACTTAACCCTGGCTTGCAACAGCTTGAAGTGTATCTCACTCTTCCAAAATGGCGGAACGATTACCGTTTGCTCGCCTGTCCTAATTAAGAGCGTGTTAGAAGATCCTCGATGACGAGTGATGAATTTATTATTGTTGATGACTACGTTGAAGATGTTGAAAAAAATGAGGATGCTGCGATGTAAGCTGTCTGCCAATTCCCCAGCTGATCAAGTCAAACAATTCTTGTTTAGCCGTCGAATTCAAATTTCCATAATTTGCCATTTTGGTTTGAGAACGAAGCGACCTCATCAAGCGATTGGTGCGATTGTAAGCGGCTGAAAGTTGTCAGGCGAATCACTGTACATTTCATGCACCTCTATAGTTGCATCAGCATGACTTGTTTAAAATGCACGTTCAGAATTCCCAGGGAATTTTCAGTATCAAATCCAAGACCATTAGAGTGACGTCATCAATATGGTTCAATAAACGTCAAATACATTAATAATTACACTTAAAGCCAACTGTGGGCGAATCATCTACACGTGCACACCTCTTAATTAAGTGACCGGGAAAATCTGGGTTAGAATTGATCTTCAGCAACCCATGCTTGTCACAAGAGGCGTCTAGCGGGATCGGGTAGTCAGGCTAGCTGACTTGGTTGACATGTCATCGTATCGATCGATGGCAGAAAGTGAAACTTTGAGATTTTGCAGTTAGCAATTGCTCATAGTGTCAATCGCTCGATTGTCTGTTCCAGACCCGATTGTTTCCAGACACCGCTCTATAGCGGGAACATAGCTAATTTCAGCGTTAAACAACAACAAACAGAGCCGATTTATTTGAATTTGGAACCGCTTCATCAGCGTTATCCACCAGTTCCACTCTGTCAAACTTGAAAGTAGTTTGTGTCCTCAAAGAAATTCAGTGATGTGACAATGGGTCCTGTCCACCGTTTCGAAGGCATTGTTGAATCTTTGAAGATAACCAAACATTTAAACTGTATCTGTTATTTGCTATCTTGTGTTATGTGAGAAAATTATAAGGTTTTTATGTTGACAATGTCAGGATAATACTGGGAGCGTTAGTGAAAGGTCGAGTGTTGTAGCAAGATTTTAATATGTGTCGATGCAGCAAGTGAAACTTTCACAGACAGAGCTATCTACAGTTAAAACGTACAACCAATGGGGTAGAAGCGGTGTGGTAACCTAGTGGGTATAGCTTTTGCATGGATACAGTTTGTGAAGCCCACCCCCTCTTTCTTCTTATTGTCCATGTTCATCAATCCTTTGTTGGTTTGTTTGTTTGTTTGTTTGTTGCTTAAAGAACAAATAAACTTTGTATTTTGTACTCCTTTAACCATTACATACGAAAGATTTGTGGTTAGTCTTATGCGGAACACCAAATTCATTCTTTAAAAACTTGTGGTTAATTAATACCGAGCGATTATAAGTTGCCAAAAAGTCAGCAATCAGCATTATTACTGCTATATTTCAGCGGTGTGTAAATAACAGAGCACAGACAATCGATGAACATCACGAGGATTCATCTATGCAACTGGGGTACAACGACATATGACATCCAAGTCAGCAAGTCGTATTTTAGGCACTATGGGCTGCATTAATCACAAATAGATGAATCATGTTAGACCAGGACGCTCCCCTTTAAAGTTCAGTGTTGGATGCGTCTATAGAGTAATACACATTCATGATTTCTTAATATTGAAATGGGTCCTCTGATAGGTGACGAGAACTGTTTATAAGCTGTAGATACTGTAGATGTTCAAGATTCAACATTCAACATTCTTTATTCAGTACCAGAGGCCTCCGGCCCACAGTACATGTATATAGATAGATAGTGTACATATAGTCATGTCACAACGTATATCATTCACATTTGCAATGGTTACGTTTCCCCATTACAAGAAGTAAATGAAGCGTTCGTAAAATTGTCAGTTGTCTCCCTAAGCTGTTTGATTTGTGTGCACTTCAGAATATACAGTGCTAAAGATTCTGACACAGTGTTATGTGTCATAACTTGTACAAATACTTGGTAAAAAACGTGTTTCTCAATCTGTTATACAAATAACATGAAGTAATAAAGTGCACTTCGTCTACAACTGCAGATACATTCAAATTTGAGTCACAATGTATATCAGTAACAATTATAATGATTAAGTTTCCCATCACCATAAGTAAATGAAGCGTTCGTAAAATTGTCAGTTGTCTCCCTTAGTTCAGCTGTATGATCTGCGTGCACTCCAGAATATACAGTGCTCAAAATCCTCAGCCATAACTTTCGTAAATTTGTCTACATTACATAAATTACTTGTACAAATAGTGTAGATGCAATGATCTTTAAGTCATTATGTTAAGCATGGTGCAATTAGCCAGGAGGCTCAGAGACAGTCTGGGGAGAGAGTAAAGGAGCCAAGTTAAGAGGTAAGCCAATCAGTCCGGTCCATCTTGACACATCTAAATTTCAAACTACATTCAAAACTAAGGGAACCAACCCTGGTAAACTCATCTTCCAGGGCCATCGACGAAAGGGGCGGGGGAACCGAAGGTGTCAAGCTATGACTGTCAGAGTCGGAGCCTAGCGAAAGGTGTGTGTGTGTGTGTGTGTGTGTGTGTGTGTGTGTGTGTGTGTGTGTGTGTGTGTGTGTGTGTGTGTGTGTGTGTGTGTGTGTGTGTGTGTGTGTGTGTGTGTGTGTGTGTGTGTGTGTGTGTGTGTGTGTGTGTGTGTGTGTGTGTGTGTGTGTGTGTGTGTGTGTAGGGGGTGGGGTGGGGTGGGGGTGGGGATGGGAGGTGGTGCGCCTCCATGTGTTCTACGGTCTGCTCATGATAAGCTTCATGTGTGATTCTTTTCTGGAGGTCCATCCCTCACTCTGCTCCCTGAGGTTGAAGGTACACATTTCTGAAAAGAAAATTAAAGAACACACATTTACATTTATTATAGAAGCATTTCATAATCTAAATTATTTCTACTTCTGTTTTCTTCGAATGATACTTTGTATAACAGAAAAATGTTATTTTATGTAAAATACATGGAATAATTCATTTGCAATATATATATTTTAAACGATTTTGGACAATAACACAGATCAATTATATGAAACTAACTTCACAGTTTCATTTAAAAAAAAATCCAACACTTTCAGTAGTAATTTCTACAAATTACACAAAATATTAGGAACTGGTTATGGCAGATATATGAAGAAACCATTCTACCACAGGTCACAGTAAAGGAGATCATGGTACTGAAGGGACGGTGGGGGTAGCATGGTGGCTAAAATAAATAAAACATATGACATTAATTGATCTAAATAAGCTCCAGTCCTTTGTCCATGGCTATGAAAACGTGCAAAAGCTGTCAGCTGTCTCATCTGTGTGCACAGACCTGCTAGAGGGTAATGAGCTGTGCATTCTACATTCAAGTTTATATTCCACAAAGTTATTCCCTACTAAATATGTAGGGGTTGGGGGATAATTTTTTAATGCATCATCAGTACAGATGAAAGCATGTAGGTTGTCTTGTTTGAGTGGCATTTTTAGAAGTTGAGACGTACAATATGGAACACGTTTTTATGGATAACAACTTCTTTATTTCGTGAGTGCGACGTTTCGATACAGATTCTTGTACCGTTGTCAAGCAAGAGTGACTTGCTTGACAACGGTACAAGAATCTGTATCGAAACGTCGCACTCACGAAATAAAGAAGTTGTTATCCATAAAAACGTGTTCCATAATGTAGGTTGTCATATTTCAAAACATGCCATTTTATTTACTTACCAAGTCATTGAGCTTTTCTACTTTTCCTATTTCTTCTGGCACTGAGATAAGCTTGTTGTTACTGGCAAGTAAAACCTCTAGGGTATGAAGATGACATGATGTCGGTGGCAAGACAGACAACTGGTTCCAACATGAAATAGAAAATTGATGAAAATCGGTGCATGGAAACATAAAAAGAAACCCATTCCACCTCACAACATCTCATTTGTTCCTATATTGCAGGAAAAACATATCTGGAGTATAATCTTATAAACAAGTCTCACAATACCTTGCTCTATGTTCTCACAAGTTTCCTGTATGTAAATACGGTTGGTGGCAACCTACCCTGGCCCTGATATAACTAACCCTAAGTATTGAAAAGGGGTGCTGGATCGGAAAGGGGATCCAAGGGCTAAGGATACAGTTGGTGGCAACCTACCCTGGCCCTGATATAACAAACCCTAAGTATCGGAAAGGGGTGTTGGATCGGAAGGGGGATCCAAGGGCTAAGGATACAGTTGTGGGTGACCTACCCTGGCCCTGATATATCTAACCATAAGCATCGGAAAGGGGTGTTGGATCGGAAAGGGGATCCAAGGGCTAAGGATACAGTTGGTGGTGACCTACCCTGGCCCTAATATAACTAACCCTAAGGATCGGAAAGGGGTGTTGGATCGGAAAGGGGATCCAAGGGCTAAGGATACAGTTGAGGGATAACCTACCCTATGCCTTTGTATGGCATTAATGAGTAATAACCTAGAAAAAGGTGAAATCAAGGGCTGTCAATTGGGGTGACCTACCCTGAGAAACATAACACCCTATTCGGAACTGTTTCATCGGGGGATCAATGGATACACTTGAGGGATAAGAACCCTATGCCTTTGTATGGCAAACAAAATACATGCCAAAGGTGAAATTATGATGTCAATGAAACTATGAGAGATACTACACCATTCACAGTTTCATCGGGTGAAGGCATGAAGTCAAACCCAAACAACTCCCAACACCTGATCCTCCAGCCATCACAGAAGCTGACCAAGGCATCTCTGACACCACCACCACCACCACCACCACCACCACCTACCTCACCATCCAGAAATACCCCACTGCCAAACTAGGAACTCAACACAAGAAGACCTGGACTTACAACTAGTCTCTGAAATGAACACATTTAACAGAAAAAAGGCTCATAGTAAAAAAATACAAAATATAATGAAAAGGTGCCGAGAGACGTTCTTCATTTTCAGAGACTAAACAAATCTGCAGAGAGATAATTTACAATGGTTCTTATCACCCACTACTGCTGAAATTGTTTGTGACAGGAATATTTATTGCCCCCACCACCTCCCAGTCCTACTGTCAGTGGTGTGGGCAGTTTTTGGGTAATGAGTATCAAGTGTCGCCAAATCTATTTTGAGAGCAAGCAGGGGTACCAGCTAAGAGAAGCATATCCTGATTTCCTATGGCTGGACAACTGGATCTCACAAAAATTCCAAAATTAATTATATTCTCCAAAATCCCAAAGGTTCTGTCTGCACTATATGTGGAAGTTTAATTGATGTTGCATCGAACAGGTGAAAATTTCTTTTTTATTGGAAGGACTAAGACCAGAGCAATGTCTTCTGATCGAAAAATGTTTACAGGGAATGTTCTACACCATTCTCTTCACACAGAGGTTACTTGTCATATGTTCTTACGTAGGAAGATATGACAGGAGTAACCTCTGTGGGAAGAGAATGGTTCTACACATACTGTGTATAGAAAATGTTTAGGTGAGGTCACTCGTGTGGACAATACTTTGTGCCTTGAAAACAAATCTGTAATGAATGTATACTATTACTACCAATCCTGTGGAACTGAAGTGAAAAAGATGTACAGTAGGATTCCAATAGTATTTCCTTATACCTTAGAGACCTTAGATGTTGGTATGCATTACATACTAATAAACAATGGTTTTCGTCCTCAATATATCATTCTTTGCACACAAGACATAATCCATCAACTTAAGTTTCTTTAACATATCTGTCAGTTTCAATTCGTGAAGAACATATTAATTAAGCACACGCGGCCCTGAATTTTGAAATTGTGAGTTCTTTGATATACAATCCTAAGCCAAATGATGACTGAAACGAAATATAGATGGAATATTTAGTGCTGCTATCGAAGGCTGCATGCCCATCTTGCTCATAAGATAAGTCTGTATACAAACACTGACATAACATTTTTAACACTAACTACACATTGTTCCTCTCAAAGATAGCAAAATCCATGCATGTAGATAATATATTTGATTTTAGCGGCCCAGTTAGTCTTAACCTTGATACAATCTAGAACTAATAACTTGTAACATTTTTTCACAAATCTCGTATCAGGCATATTGCATATTTTACACCAATAAGCAACGGCCCTTTATAAGTAAAACTTTACACTGGATAACGTCCACATTCTCCCAAGAATCGTTTACGTGCAAACATTTGTAAAATTTCATGGTAACCAAAACCACTGATTATGTTTGTTTTCTGGGAAATTTAGATATGAAGATGTACTGTCAATGAAAGTGATATTTTTCAAGGTCCCATGATGTTGACATAATTACAGAACTGTTACCAAGGTTACGTTGTTCTGGCAACACAGAGTGACTGATACAAAGTACATAACTGGCTGTTTTAACAAATATCTGTCATTGCGAAGCAACACAAATAGTGATTAAAATTAAGCATAAATTTTATTACACCAAATGCCCAACTACTGAGTGCAAAGAATATAATAAAATACACTGGAAAAGCCTGTAATAAAAAACACAGAAATGCTCATGATGGTCAAGGGGAGATAACCAGTAACCTACTCCTGTGAAGCTCCCATAAAATATAACATAGTGATTCACAATAACATGAAGGTAGTCAAATCATGAGCACATACAAACATGACTCAAGTGAGACACAAATATCCTGAAACTCACAACTCTTATAACCTCAACATATTAACCATGTTTAACCGTAACATATTCCTCCCAAAACATTAGAGGGTAAACTATGATAAAACATCAGTGACCACACCCTGTGGTACCTTAGTATGGACGCAATGTTGATAGAACACCTCCGAACTCTCCCATCGTCAGATTGTTTGAACAGTCTTAGGATCTACACCCTTCTCTATTGCATGTGTTGCACCTGTTGGCCGATAGGATTTTGCAGAAATGTCACGACCACCTAAACCAGCCAACCGAATACCAGTCTCCAGAATATGTCCCACTGTAGCAGCCGTTTTATACTGTTGAACAGCGGACGTAAACTCAAAAAGACTGGTTTCCTTGCAACTAACTGTCTTTGCCCTTTTGTACGGTCAATGTAACAACTAAGGGCACGCACAGGGTCCAACTTAGTATCTGAGTGTCTCTGAAGTTAAACAGTAAAACCTGCTCTACTAATGTCATTTTTTTATTCCATGCAACTTTATCTTGGCTGTGCCCTCATCTGTAAACACAATGTCACTTGTAGATAGAACCATTGGTGTTTCAGAATGTGACACAGGGTCAAACAGCATCCCCTTGGGAGCAATATCAGACGGTCTCAACATCAGTGTTAGCGCCATCAGACAAATGGTTTTAAGTCTCAAGTCTTTTATGGATAATTGTTCATTATTGTCCATACCTGAAAACAAGGCACAAAATGCTTCAACAGGCATTATTGAAGAGTATTTCATAGGTTCACAACTACCAGATTTAACCAGGGCGGTAACTAACCGTCGAACAGCTGATATTCGAGATAAATCGCCTCAAACATCGCAGACATAGCTGCTAAGGCAGTGTTAAGTACAGATCTGGGTTTTTCAGAACAATCTGCTAGCATACAAAGAAAAGAAACAGTGGCTACCTCAGACACGGGTGGGAAATAATAACTATGCTTTTTACAAAACACACACAGCTTGTTTAAGATAGCATTATAAGACTGCAAAGTTGACTTAGCCCAACAAAGAGGGAACTGTGCTATTGCCCTCTCAGGCCAATGCCTAGATCTGAGCTCACTCCGCCACAAACTCTCCAAGCAAGAACTTTCCAACCCAGATTCCACCTGGGCTCTGGAACTGGGCCCATCCTTTGGAACGCTTTCTTGCAATTTGGAATCTTGATTGGGGGTGCTATCACAATTTCCTTTACCTTCTGGAACCACACTCGACCTGGAAATAGAGGGGCAATGACTGTTGCACTTGCCCCTTGCTGAATGATTTTCTCGATAACTTTGGGTAGAAGACAGAACGGTCGATTCACCCAGTTGTTGTGACTGTCCCAGTGGTCCTGTGCCAGAGCATCCACCCCTGCACTCAACGGTTCGTAAAAGCGACTGTTGAAGTTTGGTAAATGAGTGTTTGTGCAACTTGCAAATCTGTCGAACGTGTGGGGACCCCAAACTCTGTCCAACATTTTGAATAACTGAGGGTGTAACATCCAATTGGCCTTGTCTAGAGTGCGACTCAAGGCATCTGCTGTCACGTTTTCCCTTCCTGCCAAATGCCTGCAACTCAGCAAAAGTCCACAGTCTTCTGCCTCTGCCCATATTGCTTTGGCAATTTTTGTCAAGTATACATTTGGACCTCCTATTAAGTTAAGCATTTATTAAAAATAGATGTCAAATGACGACACAGTGAACTTTGTCATGGGGGTAAGGAGCCAGTGGGGAGCCAGTGGGGAGCCAAGGGTACCAGGTTGTGTGGCATCCATTCAGCAGCGCCATGGAACAAAGACGAGTAACTTGATTAGTGAACAGAGCAATGAACAATGATCACAAACTGTAGAGTGTTTTTAATTGAATGAATCAAATACACGTGATCATGTACACTGTGTATTTACTTTGATTTTCTACTCATTCCCGGGTAGACTTGACATAGTTGGCACATGAAACCCATAACAGGTAGTAGCTGCAATAACAGACAATAAATGGAAAGAATGCCATGCACTTAACCATTGCCAATGTTCCGTATTTTAAGAAAAAAAAATTGTGTTGTACACATTAATTTGCTCACTAACATACATTTTACATCCATACATGAACAACATGTGAAATGTTTAGGTTAGGCAGGTTATTTTATATAATATAAATATACCTACAAATGATATGGGCCCTCATAAACACGACAAAAGTAGACATTTCTCGTTGCTTTGTCGCATCAACTACTTCGGGAATATTAGCCGGAGCAATTAATCGGTAGACTCCTGAAAAAAACAAAGCAAACACGAAACTCAAAACAATGAAGCGCTCGTAAAATAACTTGGGCACTCATCATCTGAAAAGTAAGAAATACGCTGTTGGAATCTGAGACCACATATCCGTATATGGTGTCTGTTGGAATTCTTGGGTTACACTGTGAATGGCGCCAATGTTGCTTCAATTATTTTACACAGCAGAATACAACAAAGTCCCCTGCCTTCCTGCTTCATCGCCAGGAAAACATTTGGCAGAGAGGCACGAAAACAGGTGACACTGTCTTCACTGAAAGCGTGACTGCAAACGGCTGTCCGAAACATGACAATGTCATGTACATGTTTCGTCCCTGTTTGAGCGAATGTCAGTGAACTCCGCGCCAGAAATATAAAATGTCGAGTGAAAGACATTGATATACTTACCTCCACACTCATATGTCACACTGACCAGGGATGGCGTTGCAGACTGACTACAAGCCCTCCACCCTCGGTCAGCGGTGTGCTGGCCTGCGATTGGTGCTTGCTGCGTCCGGTAAATAAAGAAAGAAAGAAAGAAAGAAAGAAAGAAAGAAAGAAATGAATGTACATCCATTTATGAGGAAATGTTTGGATTCGATCATCAAAATTGAGATTTGCCTTGTAGTTGTACTTATTTCGTTGGTTGGTTGGTTGGTTGGGATTGTAAATACACGTGATTGTTGGCTGTGTGCCAGGTGGGTCTGCATGAACAGCTGGCTGGTGGTGGAGTGTATTTGAGAGGTGTCAATCAGGATGACTGGAGGTGATAGTACAACCTGACCATATATGGGAGATGAAAGAAGGCCATGCAGTGTCCCCGGAAATTAGGGTTGGGATTTGCTTGCTTGCTTGCTTGCTTGCTTGCTTGCTTGCTGTTGTAGCCTTTGGTAGCTTTCGGTACCTTTGGAAGCCATTGTAGCCTTTGACTTGCCGTTATTTGGTGTGTGTATCTGCTGGTTGCGAAAGACTAAAGAAGACGGTCCTGGCGCAAGGTTTGGGCTTGTTGAGGATGCCGATGAATGCGATTGGTCGATTGGTGGTGTTTAGGATGTTATCAGCGATGGCTCGGTTGTACAACGGGTGCGAAAGTGTTTTTTAAGAATGCCAGAGTGGGCAGGGAATTCTACCTCTTCTGGTGCCAGTGTAGATGGTTCCGATCGGTGATGCCGATTTGGTGCTCCATCCAAGAGTTTTGGCCACGACTTCGGGCTATGGAATTTTCAGAGCCTAATATGGTGCAGGAAAGCGCAGTCGCCCGATGGAATCGGTGGTAAACACGACTGCTTCCTGGTCAGGTTCTGAAATTATGCATGAGACCCTAGACTTACTGAAAATATCCTTGGCACACTTGTTGTAAATGAGACAATTCTATTCCTTCTTTCAATTTAAACAAGATTTTTCATATTAAGAACTAGGTATGTCTCCAGTTCCAATTGTTTCCTCTGTTCAAGAAACAAGACACCCGAAGCCCATGCTCTAAACGATGTAAAAACTGTTTGGGGACAGCTGGTTCTCCTATGCTGGAAATGAAGGGAACTCAGAATGTAACCGAGCCCCTGGACGAGGTAATGCGTTTTTTTAATAAACCACAATAAAGAACCATTCATAAGAGTTCATTAAACTTTAAACATACGAAGGACATTGACTCAATGTCATTAAGAAATGCCAATGTGTGTATTAGTCAAATTAGACACACTATGATAATGTGAGTCGTCTTTTTTATTTGGTTGTGAAAGGGACCTACGCGACAGAGTTAAGAAACAATCACAACCGCAACCGAGTAGGCATGGCATAGATGTAATGCACTCAGGTAGCAATGCACAGTACAGGGATATTAAGGGCCAAACAGCAAAATTAATCAACCATATACATTGGGACAATGGCATTATTTGTTATGTAATGTACTCAGTAGTTGAAAAGATATGCTGCCGATCGAAAGAGAACAACATACGGCGTTTTAATCCCTCGTCGAAATAAATGTGTTTTGAATGGGTGTGTTTTTTTAAACACGAGGCTACTCAGGCTTGGCTGCCAGCATTAATGACACAGTCATCGTACGAAAGAACCCTAAGAACCTAATCACTAACACCCCCAACCCCCCCCCACCCTGACCTAAACCCAAACCTTACCCTACCTACTATCCCCCAACCTCCTCACCATAATTGAACCTGAACCTTACCCTAACACTCAACCTCTCCCCCCCCACACACACAAGCGAGACGCTATTTAGCTACTGTCACTAAACTTCACATGCACGGTGTCCGTAGAGAGTCAGGGACAGAGAGACACAATCTATGCTGGTAGCAAGTTGGCAACAAAATTAATATCGGCTTGACATTTGAGACCTCGGGGAAAGTATGATAGTGGGGCTGGACCATTTGTGGTGTACCCCGCCGTCATGTTGCTAGAATATTGTTAAAAGCGGCGTACAACCCAAACCAACTAACTCACTCACTCACTCACTCACTCACTCACGCACGCACGCACGCACGCACGCACGCACGCACGCACGCACTCACAATTGTCTACCCGTGGGAACGATGGTATTGCTCCATGGCAGGTGGTTGGGTTGCCTCACAAACTGATTGAAGCGCCATATAAATCTGTGGAAAATAGCCGTATATGGCATCTTGAAGCCCTCTCGTTTGGTTAAAGTGACTGAAGCGCCAGGCAAATGTCTGAAAACTGCCGTTAACGGGACTAAGTTGGGCTGTGCTTCAGGTGTTATACCGAGAATGAGGTATGAAAGGAATAATTTCCACTGCTCCTTCCGCCGTAATACCCCACCCACACTTGGACAACACAAAAAGTGCATTTTCGCTAAAGTCTATCAGACACACAATACCTGCTTGAAACACGTTCTTTCTACATTTCATAAAATTAATACTGTGTGGGGAAAAACGTTCATATCACATGGGCTTAAACTGTTATCATTTTTATTGTTATTGTTATTGCTATTGTTGTTGTTGTTATTGCTATTGTTGTTGTTTTTATTGTTGTTGTTGCTATTGTTGTTGTTGTTGTTTTTGGTTGTGGTGGTTGTTTAACGCCGCACTCAGCAACATCCCGACTATATGGAGGCGGTGTGGACCAGAAAATCCAGTAATCAACTGCTTGGAAAGCTGACTGGCTGTGCGTGTGACCGTTTCTTCACAGTGTTGGACATGATACACACACTGTCATAGCTACTCAAGCCTTCAGTAAGATATGTTACAGTGTTGAATGCATTACTGCCTGGGTCCAGTATCCAAGGAAACATGCACTGTTACTGTAACATCTCTCGGGCATCTGGACGATGGATACGGCAACACGTTGCACAAACAGGCAGACAAACTTACATGAATTCATTAAAATTAAGAAGCCTGTGGATATTTCCCCCTGGTGGTGTTATTCTTATATATAGCTGGGGTTGTGACGTCATATCCTCTATACTCTAAACTCACCACTGTATACTTGTACCCAGTTGTTATGGCAAGGTACTCACATGCCCCTGTAGGTCTGCGGAACTGAAAACGGCAATGTGGACACTAATATACTCAACATTGCCAACCGCTGCTCACACACGAACAGAAATTCTACTGAATGATAGTTTGAGCTGAAGGAGTCGTTGTGGGTACAAGTACCCCAGATATATACCCCCGATATTATACTAGCCAAAGTCCGAACACAGAACAGTGCCGGGTACGCTACCCTAAACGGGGGTGGAGTCCATAATGTTTAACCCTTGTAGTTCCGATTCGCCTGATTCCGAGTGCATATGCTGCGCATGGCGACAAATAAGAGTATTGTACGTACTACACTTTGTATTTTTTTGCATGGTGTCAGTATGTTAGAACAGTTCCGATTTGGAAACTGAAGAAAACATTCTTTGTTCTCCAAAGGTCACCTCCAGGACCACAAGAGATAGCATGACGTGTTCAGCTCATCTTCAATGGCCAACAGGTGGCAAGGCACTGCACCCTAGCGGATAGAACTATAATCCTATTGCTGGTCTATAGGCTACCCGTGAAGATCTGAGTTTCAATTGTTTTTCAGCAAACAAGTCGTAACAGACGACTAACGGGATGGTGTGGCCAGGCTCGCTGACTTGGTTGATGCAGGCCATTCATGTTATCCCAATTGCTCAACATGTCAACAATTAACTGGACTGCCACAGACCAGTCATATAGATTATTGCTGTATGTGTTCTTACAAAGCAAACACAGAATATCACACAGTCCTCCACAATGAACAAAATCTTGTACAGAGTTAAGAATGTATTTTATTCTTTTCATCTTTAAATACACACACGGATGCGGCTGTTCACTCAAGTCTAACGAATCGAGAAGCATTACCCGAGCTCTGGCAATATTTTCTCTTTCGTCAGCATCCCTCTCTGAAAACAAACAAAGTCCAATGATAACAAATGTATGTAATCTGGCTGTTACATAATGTTAAAACTGTAGGCTACAGCAAACCTCTATTTCAAACATCTGAATTGTTTATTTCTTTCTGGTAAAGATAGGTGTTAGATTTGCTAAAGACACAACGACGTCATCATAGAAGGCATATTTAGAGTTGTTCCTGACATCTTCTTTCATACGGTTAAAAATATTTACAATTTGACAATCTAAGCTGTGTATTAATTTTACTTGATGTGTCCAATTATAAGCTGTGTTTGACAATTAAAGAACCTAGTGTTTCTTGGAAACGTGTTTGCTTGTATTGGGTATACTATTACTTGCACAGCTGACTGTTTGACAGATCTAAATACTCGGATGCTCACAAGCAGCTTGTTTTAAGGTTGTCTTCTTGTAAGAATTACTGTAGTGATCTTACCTACTTTCAAACTGCTTCAGGCAGGCAAATTCTTGACACTCAACCTTTTCATTATGCATTTCATTGTTGTTTGGAGTCAGAACATACACACGTTACGAGCTGTACAGTATGTACGGGTCATGTAGACTGTAAGTACCGGATGTACAGGCTGTCAGTACCAGATGTACAGACTGTCAGTACCGGATGTACAGGCTGTCAGTACCAGATGTACAGACTGTCAGTACCAGATGTACAGGCTGTCAGTACCGGTACAGACTGTCAGTGTCAGTTGTTCAGTCTGACCAGTGTAGTCTGGTATCCCTTTAAGACTGACCAGTGTAATCTACCTCCTTTAAGACTGACCAGTGTAATCTACGTCCCTTTAAGTGACCAGTGTAGTCTACATCCCTTTAAAGGTCACATGTAACGTAAAACACAACTTTGCAGATTCATACCTTTCGGTATGGACTTACCGAAACAAATCTTCAAAATGCAAATTCAACTTATAAAATTGAAAAATAGCGCGATGAAAAAAATCGGCATCAGGGTTGAAAAGATTCACTAATTTTCCCCAGCACTGGGGAAAACTGGTTTCAACAGCTGGGCTGCGCTCATAGGACATGCGCAGTGAAACATGTTCGCGCAGCTTGGAAGCGGGTGGTCCGTGAATACTCGGTGAAGGCTTTGGTGTCAGCTACTTTTCTAATGTTTTGTTGATATTTCACAGGCGCGAGCTTTTTATATGTTATGACAGTAGATTACCGATTTACTGTTTATATAATCTCACTTGTCTATTTCACCACACGTTCTTCTTACCGAGTCACTTTCTCAGTTCGATACTTAAAAGCAATGTCATTATTTAGCGTTGACAGAATTTCTAACTGTGATATAAGATATGTCGTTGTCACAGAGAAAACTCAATGTCTGTTTTATTGACACCTACCACGACATCCGATAGACTGTAAGACAATCTGGCAGCAGTGTGTAGTGTAGCCAGTCAGGAGTATCAGCCAGGGTAAACAGCAGGCTGAGATGAGAGTGCCCTAGCGTACACAGATCAGCCCTGTTTGGGGTTGCTGTCAGATGGAGAATACATTACGACATTGTATTTATGGTATTTTGGTTTATCATGCCCAGAGGTTGGCCAACACAGATGTCCAACAACCGTCAACTAAAACTGGGAGATTACTGATCAACTTGCCATGTCACGCTGACTGTTTCAAATATGTACACTTGCAGTATCAGATTTTAGAGAGAAAAACTCTGGTGCACACTGATAAAACAAACACAGTATGTTTCGTTTTTCAAAATGGTTTTGTGTCCCCATAAATCATGAAAATTCAACTCATGTCTAATGGCCATAATCACCACATAAAACTATTTATTGCTTTATATGAAGCTAAGAAACTACTATAAAACTATTTGTTGCATTGTTAATGATGAACCTTACCTAGAACACTGCAAGATAGAAAACACAGCGTATCTACTTGACAAAACTAAGACTGAGTTATCACAGACTAATAAATGAACTGGGAAGAAGAGCAAGACCACCTACACCATTGGAGGACCGTCTCTGTGATCAATGCTTAGTCCTTGAGGATGAATGAGTGAGTGAGATGGGTTTATGCTGCTTTTAGCAATATTCCAGCAATATAACGTTGGGGACAGCAGAAATATAAACAGGATTACATAATCCACCTGCATACAATACATTAACTGTATATTCTTGCTATCTGTACAAATAATCATTTAAAGCTAGTTGAAAATTTTGTCTTAAATACTTCAAACCAAGATCAATTTTTACAAATTCCAAGTGAAACCTACACACCTACAGTTTCTAGGTAACTCCTACCCTAACCCTTAAAGAAAACTAACCCTAAGGATCCAAAGGGTGGTGTTTGATCGGAAAGGGGATCCAAGGGCTAAGTACCGTAAAGGGGTGTTTGATGAGCAAGTGGTGGCCATCCGTAAAGGAGTATGAGCAAGTGAAAGACCTGTGACCCTAGAGCCCAAATCCAACAGGCAGAGTCTGCTGGTGAATACAAGTGGCACAGAGCTAACAGCAAACTGCACTGTTGGCCATAAATATATGCTTAATACGGCGAATACGGTATACCACATGGCGGACATGACTGGGTACAATGAAAGCAAGGTGTACAATCTCCTACCTCACACAAGCTGCCATGTTGCCAGTATTCAGGGGGCTGTGGAGAGTTGTGTCGGATTGTTGTGTCAGCAGGTGACCTTGGTCAGGGTCTGCAACATGGTCCAACACAATGAGCATGATGTGCACAACTAATTATGAGCCTATGCCAATGAAAGGTAACGCACAATGGAAAACAAAACAAAGCAATGATGCCATTTTAGCTGTATTTGGAAGTTTAGATATGAAGGTATGACATAAAACGAGCATTTGAACAAGATTCCATGATGATTAAGTACAGAAGTGTTACCATGGTGATTAATAATGCAAGAGTGACTAATATCCAGAGAATGACTGATTTTACATACTTACAAAACCAGAGGGTTAAGAGGGAATCCAGGGTTTGATGTGGGTCCGAGGCTGTGTGGCAGTGGGCCTGTTGAGCAGCAATGGAATAGAGACAAACAACCGGGACAGTGTGGTGACATGCCAGACATATACAGAAATTGGGATGTAAATAGTTATACTGACATTGCATTGTACTAAGCATTAACATACTGTAACAGAACTGGATGCCATGAACTATCTGGTGATTACAAGGTGAATAAACAGTCAAACTGCCAAAGGAGTAAAGGAAATATCTTATGAATGAGATGAATATGCACAAACTATAAACTATGAAAAGAGACCAAGGTGTGTGTCCCACAATGTCCACAAGCAATTTCTGAGCAGCTGACAGTGAGGTGAAACTGTAATAAAACTAAGACATTGTAACTGCAGCCAGTAAGCTACCACAGCTGATGACAAAGGCACACTAAGCATAGTGCACTTGGATAGACTGCTGGGTGACAGTGGACTGAGTGATGGTGGCTGTGGCAGCAAACTATGGCAGAAAGGCGAAATGTGAAGTACATCATGTTTACAACATATTTAAGAACACATATTGAGATGAGTTAACATATTGATGCATGGTCCAAACGAATGGCAGTGTTTTTGGATGAAAAACTGTAGTCCAACAACAACAACAACAACAACAACAACAACAACAAAGGGGTGCACATGCAAGTATACAAGGAAAATGCAATCCTCTCCCCTCGGCACGACAACACCAGCAGGCATGGGGTTTTTTTTATGAGTAATTGCATGTATATATACTTACATCGACATGTGTGTAGTGGTTGGTTGAATAACATCGACAGCAAGTAGGAAAAGAAAGAAAACAAAAGAGAAAAAGCCCCGCCACACACACACACACACACACACACACACACACACACAATACCGAAAATGAATTATTTCTGTGATGTAAACAAACACTGCACTGAAGCCTTACAAACGTGATGTCAGTCAGTATAATGTGTCTGAGTGGGGGTATTCATGCTTCACTGCTGCGTGGTATCTCAGCAGACTAGCACTATAAAACAGCTTCTGTCTGGGCTAGTACAAGCAGCCGCACATACACATACACAAGCATGCACGCTTGTCCTATGAGCGAAATATTCTCAAGCACGACGTTAAACCCAATTTCACTTCACCTCAACTCACTCATTCACTCACTCTCAGAGCACGCAACTTCACTTCAGGGTAGGTTTGCTAAAAAGTGGAGCAAAACTAAACTCACTCACTCAGAGACAGTTGGTTAGCCCTAGTGGTTAAAGTGTTTACTCCCTTGCACCAAGGCACCCAGTTCGAATGTCCATATGTGTTTTATGGGACAGTTTATTATGTAAACTGCCATAATATGCAGGAATGTTGATAAAAAACGGCTTATTACCTCCCTCCCTCCCTCACTCACACTCAGAGCAGTCAAATACTTCCATCTGACACTTTCTACTTTCCTCTCTTCAGGGGCAGTTGGTTAGCCAAGTGGTTGAAGTGTTTGCTCATCGCACCAGGACCCCCAGTTTGAAACCCCCATGTGGGTGGTATGTCTAGGTTCCACTGCTATGATATTGCAAGAATGTTACCGCAAGTGGCATAAAACCACACTCACTCACTCCCTCACTTTTAGTGCAGTCAAATACTTCAAACATGACTGTATGTATTCAGTATATAGGTTATGTTAATGTCACCTTTTACATCCATGAGTAAGATTGAAAGCTGTGAATTTATAGTAATTTCACTTCCACTGACTGAGTTTTAGTTTTATGCCGCTTTTAGCAATATTCCACCAATATCACGGGGGACACCAGAAATGGGCTTCACAGATTGTGCCCATGTGGGGAATCGAAGCCGGGTCTCCAGCGTGATGAGCCAACGCTTTAACCACTAGGCTACCCCTCCGCACCAATTTCACTTCCAACTGACACTTTCTACTTTCCTTACTTCAGTAGCATTTGGTTAGCCTAGTGGTTAAAGTGTTTGCTCATTGCACCAAGACCCCCATTTGGATCACCACATGGGTACTTGGTGTTTAGCCGTTTTTTGGTGTCCACTGCTATGATATTGGAGGCATGTTGATGAAGACGGCATACAACCTCACTCACTCACTCACTCATTCATTCACTCACTCACTCACTCACTCACTCACTCAAATGCTTCAAACGTAGCTATATGTATTCAGTACATAGGCATTTTGTTGTTTTAATCTTTTATTGATCCCTTTACCATATACATGTACAAAGCAGTGAATGTGAATATAGTTAAGTAACGTGGAGCTCAGAGAGTCCTTGGATGGGTGACTGTGTTTTTGCAGCTTGACTCCTGAGAGATTCTAGGACCTTAGTCCTGCCCCACAATGAACCACATGTGATACATAGGATCTCACCTTAGACAAGTGACTTTGTTAAAATTTGCCTCTGTTCCCCCAGCAGAAAATGGGTAGCCGGTGGGATAAAGTCATGTGACTATAACCTTCTAGTGCCTAACAGGCAGTTTGGGTTATCCGGGGTAATAATGTTCAGATTCTGATGACAGCATCCAGTGAGCAAATACTCAGATGGATACTAGGCACTGTATAAATGAATTATTATTATCATATTATTATAGTACATATTGACATATTGATAATAGTTGTACATATTCAAATACCACTAATGCCACAGTCAAGTATGTGCACTGAGGCATCCATTTTCTGTTGAAGCAGAAAACTGTTGAAGGTCTGGCATTTACATGTACAGAGAGTGATTATGGTATTTGCTCAGTACACAAAGACCCCCAGTTTGACTCCAAATATGGGTAATATACATGGTGCCATAATATACAGGAATGGTGCTTGAAAGTGGCATAAACTCACTCACTCACTCACTCACTCACTCACTCACTCTCACACTTAGAGCTGTAGACAACTGACACTTTCTACTTTCCTCACTTCAGGGGCATGTGGGGTAGGTTGGTGGTTAGCATGTTTTGAATCTCCATATGGGTACTATGTCTTGGTTATAGTCTGATTGCACCAAGTCCACTGTCCACTGCTGCTGTGATATTGCAGGCATGTTGTTGCAAGTGTGCATAAAGTGTTTGCTCATTGCAGAAAGGCCTCAGTTCGGATACCCACATGGGTACTATGTGTCAAGCCAGTGTTTGGTGTTAACCGCTATGATATTGGAGGAATGTTGATGAAAACAGCATATAACCTCCCTCCCTTCCTCACTCACTCACTCTAAGCCCCACAGTTTCAATCCCCATGTGGGTACCATATGTGCTGCCAGTTTCTGATGTCAACTGCCATTATATGCAGGAATATTGTTCAAAGTGGTATAAAACCTCACTCTCTCGGTCACTCACTCACTCACTCTGAGTACAGTCAAATGATTGAAACATAGCTTGAAACATAGCTGTAATGATATTGGAGGAATGTTGATGAAAATGGCTTATAACCTCCCTACCACCCTCACTCACTCTTAGAACAGTCACATTCTTGAAACACAGCTGTATGTATTCAGTACATAGGTTTTGTAAATGTCAGTTGCAAATGGCACTCTCTACTTTCCTCCCTTCAAGGGCAGTGGGTTAGGTTGGTGGTTATAGTGTTAATTTGCAGATTGCATCAAGACCCCCAGTTCCGACCCCCACATGGGTACTATGTGTCAAGCCACTGTGTTTGGTTTGGTTATTTGTTTACTTCATGAACAGTTGGTTAGCCTAGTGGTTGAAGTGTTTGCTCATTACACCAAGTCCCCCAGTTCGGATCCCCACATTGGTACTTGGTGTTAAGCCGTGTATTTATATGTCCACTGCTATGATATTTTAGGAATGTTGGTGAAAACGTTATATAGCCTCACTCACTCACTCACTCTTATTAAAAGACTGACTGACTGACTGAGTTTAGTTTTACGAGCAATATTCCAGCAATATCACGGCGGGGGACACCAGAAATTCTTATTAAAAGAGTAAAAGAAGACCCTTAGTTCGAATCCCTATATAGGTAATGTGTGGTGCCAGTTTCTGATGTCAGCTGCCAGTATATGCAAGAATATTGTTGAAAGTGGTACAAAACCTCACTCACTCACTCACTTTTAGAGCATTCAAATGCTTGAAACATAGCTGTATGTATTGAGTTCATAGGTTTTGTTAATGTCACTTGCAAACTGCACATCCTACTTTCCTCACTTCAGGGGCAGTGGGTTAGGCTAGTGGTTATAGTGTTTACTCTTTGCACCAATACCTCCTGTTTGAATCCCCATGTGGGTTTCACTGCTATGATATTGCGAAAATGTTACTGAGAGGGGCATAAAATTACACTCACTCACTCACACTTAAAGAAGTCCAATAACTGCAACACTCTCTTCTTTCCTCACTTCAGGGGCAGATGGGTTAGCTTAGTGGTTGAAGTGTTTGCTCATTGCACCAAAACCCCCAGTTTGAATACTCTCATGGGTACCATTTCCGGTCCACTGCTGTGATATTGCAGAAATGTTGCTGCAAGTGGCTTAACACCTCACACACTCACTCACTCTTACAGCAGTCAAACGCTTGAAACATAGCTCTATGTATTCAGTACACAGGTTCTGTTAATTTCACTTCCAACTGACACTTTCTACTTTCCTCACTCTAGGGGCAGTGGGTTAGCCTAGTGGTTGAAGTGTTTGCTATTTACACCAAGTCCCTGAGTTCAGATTCCCATGGGTAGGTTGTGTTTAGCCGGTTTTTGGTGTCCACTGCTATGATATTGCAGGAATGTTGATGAAAACAGCAAATACACATAATAGTAATAGTTGTACATATTCAAATAGCAACAATACCAAGGTGTGTCAATCACAGGGTTCGAATCACTGTTTGGACAGTATTTTACATGTCACGAAGGCACATGTCCTGCGAAATTAATAGAAAGTCCAAGTAGTCCAAGTAGCCATGGAATTTTCTAAAATGTTCATTTCTTCGCCAATTGTTCAAAATTGAAACATTTGTTAATCATACCATATATAAACAATATATGATTGCAAAAGTCTAGATTTCTATTTTTGAAAATTATTGTCCAAACAGTGATTTGAACCCTTGTCTGAGAATGCGTGTTCTT